AAATATTTGTGAAATTAGAACTTGCAACTTTTTCCCCTGAAGATATATTTCTATTCGTTTCTTTTATTTGTAAAATTAAAAAATAATGATATAAAATGTAATAAAACATTTTTTTTCAAAGCTTTCGTTCATATTGTTACGAATTTTCTATATATGTAAACAATTTGTATGAAATTGCATGCGAAATTATAGTATTTTTTGTTTAACATAACTTGAAAAATCTGAAGATACAAAGCTCTGTGTGTAAAATAAGACTACAGGAGTAAGTCTCTTTAACCTTGAGGTAGATGGCTATCTTGCTATTGCCAATATATCGCCAAGCTGGCGATGATTTTAGCGACTTATTTTTGTCGCGAAATTGGGTGAGAAATCGCCATAATTCGGTAAACTCCAGGACATTTTGATCCGGTCTCCGTGTAACTATAATTGGTATTGTAGCTGAATAACTGTAATTGATCCTTACGTGTAACTTCCAGTAATTTCGAGAAATGGAAGGCACTAGAGATCTTTCGTAATAAATGCATTTAAACCATTACGAATCCGAAAGCACACAACAGTGTTTGGTGTCAGAAGTGGGATTCGAGCCCACGCCCACATTCGTGGATTAGAAAAAAATGTTGCTTGTTTCGGCATATTCATATGGGTTGAATGCACCTAGAACCAATGATAGCTTGATAAAATTCGCTTTTAGTATTGCAGAGCACAATCTGTAGTTACACTTCAAACTACTAAGCACGTTAAACAAATGCAGTGCAAAACGAAACTAAATAGCGAATTTCACACGAAGATAATGCTGCGAAATCGACTGTAGGAAAATGAAAAATGGAGGTCTGATATTCTTTCCGGGCTTGTATAGTTTCATCCAGGCCGCCGAGAAATTTCTACTGTTAAAGTTACACGTAAGGATCACTGACAATTATTCAATTCCAGTACCAGTCGTAGTTATACAGGAACTGGAGCAATTAGCGACTTTTGGCGATTTCTCACCAAATTTGGCGTCAAAAATAAGTTACCAAAACCATTGCCATCTTGGCGGTATTTCGCCAATTTAGTGAGATATATACAAGGTGGTTAAAATTAAAACACCCCTACTCTGAGCTCTCTATACATGGAACTACTGAGCGTAAAGGCCCCAAAATTGTTGAGCATACTAACTATTCAAGACATGGGTAAATGGATTACGTGAAAAAAAATGATTCTAGAAATATCGACAGGTGGCGCTGTGCAACGGAAAATATGCTGAAAAGGCACAAATAATCACAAAAAAGGGGGGGACATGAGGTATGGAAATATTCCTTTTTAATTTCTGTTGCTGATATGAAAAAAGAACGCAAAAAAAAATTAAGAAACGTAAACTGTCATTGTAACTGCAATTTCGCTTTATGGCCATCTCGTTCTCCAGATCTTAATCTATGTGATTTTTGGCTGTGGGGTCACTTAAATCCTGTTTATCGACGACGTCTGGTAACTTTGGCAGATTTGAAAGATAGTATCACTCTGCATGTGAGAAGCATCTGAATCGACCAATTACGATCCACAGTTGAACAAGCTGTCCACAGACTGCAGATTTTACATCTTCAAGAAGGAAACCATACTGAGCAGCTTCCCTTGCATCGATAAGGTCTTTATGATATGAATGTTTGGTACGTTCGAATAAAATGTGTTATAAAGTGTATTTTGCGTCTTTTCAGCATATGTTCTATTGTACAGCGCCATCTATCGGTGTTTCTGGAACTATTTTTTTCACGTTATCCGTTTCCCCATATCTTAAATAGTATGTTCAACAATTATGAGGCCTTTACACTCAGTAGTTCGATGTATAGAGAGCTCAGAGTAGGGGGCCTTTTAATTTTAACCACCTTGTATTTACCTCAATGTTAAACAGGGATTCCGGAAGAACTTCGTCTCTTCAAACTTACAGTTTCACATATAATTGCACTCAAATTATTTACATATGTACAAAAATCGTAACAATATTTCTAGTCTAATTATTATCTTATTACTTGACAATTACTTGCATTACGATTATGTTGCATGCTGTATGTGTATATTATACAGAAAAAGATAAGGTATTCGATGAAGTATTCCATTCTTTTAAAGGAGGTTGATGGCTCCCCCCCCCAAAAAAAAATTGGGAAGTTTTGAGTTAAACAAATATATTAACAAACTTGACTTCATTAAAATCAGTATTGCAGATGCACGATTATGCGATTCATTGTTTTGCAAATATTGGGATCCTTTCCACTGCACAGCAGTTTCATAAACTACGAATATGTAACACATGATTTGTTTAGTAACATAGTTTGTTAATGTTTGATGGAGAGGTAAAAAATCCTTCTTGTCTAAAGTTTCATTTTTGATTTTCTACAAATAATAAATGCTTATAATAGTTTTATAAATTTTGTCTCACGCATAACGAAAAATTAACTTCTCATCAAGACAATTTGTGAAGCCAGTAATATTATTTGTTTAATTAGTGCATAAACATTGCCATAAAACAAAAAGAAATTGTTAAACAGATTTTTTTTAATGTTTCGTTCCGTGAATATACGCAAAACTTTATGCATTACGGGTTCAATGTATTACTTTCGAGTTATACATACTCTTTTAATAAAACGAACTGCTTCTTTCAGGATAGTTCCTTTTATTAAATTAATATATTACAGCATGTCGATTATTACTATTTATATTGTAAAATTTGAGCAATGCATGAGTAAGAAATTACAAGATAAATGGTGTGATGTGAAAAATGTAGTCTTAAAATTTCGTGAGCTAATGCTTATCAAGTCTGAATATATTATTTCGATTGAATCTTGCACAATATTAAAAACAAAATCTGGTTTGGACACCACATAGCTTCTTTGTACGGCCTATTAAATTGTACACAATTTTTGCTGCATTTTATTTAAACTTATTTCCTCGAATTATTCTAACTAAAACGATTCCTCAAGGCAACTTAAAAATCTTAAAAATAACATAAAAAATTGTAAAATTTTGGAAACATTTTTTTCATATGGGAATCAAATTTCTTGTATTTTTATTTTTCAGTGTCAGGTATAAAACTTCTGAGATATAAATATAAGAACCGGAAGATCTCACTAAAGGTTAGATTTCGTTATTTGTCGATTTTTTTTTTTTTTTTTTTTTTTTTTTTTTTTAATTTGACGTTGCGAAAACATGAATACTTTTATCATTTAAAACACTTTTGTATTTTTGTTTTCTTCATTTAAATTTGTTTCTTCGAATTATTCTAACTTAATTAACCGATTCCTCAAAGCAAGTTGAAAACGATACAAAAAATTAAAAATTTTTTTAATTAAATAACCTTGTCAATTCCTTCATTTAAAACACTACTGTAATTGGAAGTATATGACTACGACCAAACAATGAAGAAAATAAAGAACGGGTATGGGGGTGTATACGTTTGGTATAATATACATATTTGGTACTGCCGACTGCAATAAAAAAGCGAGGTGCACAACTAGATGTTATTGCAGTCCCATACACAAAATATCAACGTCCTACGTCTAATAATTTTCGAGTTATGCGAAATGCATGTATGTACGAAAAAAAAAAATCTCTTTTAAATCAATTTTACAGTCCGCTTTAGGGGGGGGAAGAGTCCTTTATTCTGTCCATAAGTCCCGCAAAAAAATCGACCAAATGGGTTTGGGAATCGTCAAAATGGATATTTCTGTTGAAATAAGATATCCGGAATTTTTTGCTATTACAATACTTTTTTTATTACATTTGTAGAAAAAGCATGCCATAAATTTTTATTTTTATTTTTATTCATTGCTGATGTTTAAAGTTTTCGATGCATATAATTTTCCTGTAGTATAAAATAATTTCCTAGTATGCTACTACACTGCCTAAAAAATTTTCAGATATTTAAAGGTAGACCATATATTTATTCTCTTACGAATTTTATATTCGTATATATACAGAGTCCACAATTTAATTCGATGCTTTAAGAATGTTTAGAAGATTTATAGCAATTTAATTTTTTGCTATATCAATTAATTTGAATCAAGTAGGTTTTTGTTTTTAACTTCAGTTATTTTAAGCACTATCACCTTAACTTTTAAGTACAAAATGCCGAAATTAGGATACTAATTTCTTTGTTTTTGATTATAAACAATTAAGTAGTTGTTAAGCAAAGAATAATTTGCTTTAACAAAGGAGCTGGAGTTAATTATAAGCCATTTCAATAAGGAAATAATACTTTTAATAATATAACAAATTTCTTTAATCATTTGAGATACGTGTTAGCCATTTGGTGCACTAATCATAGGATCAGTAATTTATGTTCAGATTGAAGGAATATCATTATATGCCGAAAGAATTTTAGCCGTTATTTCAAAATTTCATTTAATTCGAAATTAGTATTAATATTACTATGTAATTTTAATGGCTCCTTTGAGTTAAATTACAAGTTACTGTAGGATGCAAGAAATGTACATCAACTTCAAATGAATTACAGAATTCAACTTATTACATTTTAATTAGCTTTTTAAGCCGCGTTTTCACTGAAATCCTTTTCAGATAATTACCAGATTTTCTCACTTGTTAAATTAAGCATGTCATACAACATTAGCCAATTAATACAAGAAAATTTTATTTTTGGATTTTAAGTTCGAAAATATACTAGCATTGTCAGCTTTTTTATAGTTCTATTTGATAACTTCTACCTTCCAAGAAAAGACAAATTATATATTAAATTATAAGGTTTATATCTTTTCTATTCGATTAATACATTTTATCTTTTCTATTTGATTCGATTAATCTATTTCTAATCTATTAATCAGTCGACAGCTGTATTTTGTCAATTCAGTCGATTCCTTACCTTATATCACTCGATCACTTCACATGTATGTATACCAAGAGCTAATTCCGTATCTTACATTAGATCAAATGATATATCGAAAAAAGCAATTTTAAACAATGGGGAAATAATTTCAGGTTGCAAACTTCAATTAAAAAAAACAAGAAATATCTAATAAGGTAATAAACGGTATATTTTATTGAGCAACAAAAGCAGAAATTGGAGAAAATAATTCAAATAACAATAACTCTGTTTACTTTTAGGTGGAAGTTATTTTAGATGGCAGGTTTATTACTACTTTTCACTACTTCATTGGAAAAGCTCTTCTTTTAAACAATGCTTTGAATTTGCCTTCACTTGAAAGACAGTATTGTGAGGTTGCATCGCAGTGGGTGCCGTATGGACAGCAGTGTATTTTGTCACTGCAGCACATAGCTGATGGATATGGACAGCAGCCATATTGACCAGAAGGTAAGAGGCAGCAAGTGTTACCATCTGGACAGTAGTACAGTCCACCTGGGCAATAAATGATTTCCACTTTATCTGCTTGCTGAACTTCAGCAGCTTTCGCTTTTAACATTGGACGTTGTTTCTCTTTCTTGGATAGGAGAGAAAGGAAATTGTTTGTTTTGTTGTCGCACTGCTTTTTATCGAGGTTACAAACTGTATTTGCAGGGCAGCAGTGCAACCCATCTGAGCAACAGACAGCATTAGGTTCAGGGCAGCAGCCGAATACACCAGGCATTGGGCCTGCACAGCATGTTTCGGCTATAAAAAAGAAAACGAAAAATTACATTTCTTACACACACACATATATATATGTAAGGTAAAAATTTGTGGATCCAAATTCTAACTTAAATTTGCAATAGATCCTTAATTCTTCATTCTAATTTGGATAGTTCCCCTCTCTATTCTCAAAACAGTAATTGTTCCAGATTAATCATATCATATTACTTTTACATAGCGCTGGTGATATAAAAGGTTTTGCGAATTAAAACCCAAACGGCTAATAATAATTTTGGAGTGCTGTTAATTAGCCAATCAAATGGTAGCGGAACCGAAACTAATCCTCTCTGAATTAAGATTTCGTCCTGACCACATCGCTCTTCGCTTCTGCTATTTGGCCTAATCAAATTGCTGCTGCGCTGCTTTCTTCTTATCGCATCAATTCAAAAATGTAAATGTACGATTAGTGTGCAAAGTTATAGTTAGCCGCAAATGTTTAAAATAAAAGGAATATTATTTAAATTTGTCGCTACTGCTTCTTTTGTTAAATCTGTTACGCTTGCAATTACTGCTTCATGTTTCAGTACCTCATGTTTTCGATATTCCCTAATCATCACATATTGGTACATGCATACGAGCTCGTCATGGAATGAATCCACACAGAAGCGAGGAAAGCTTGATGAAATTTATTTTCCGAAAACACTTCACTTTGCACACAAAAATACATTTACAGCTCTTCTCAGAATGACAGAGCATAATAAGTAGTTACCGCTTCAAACTCAAAAGAATCGAAAACAAAGCAATGTAAAGCGCCTTAAAAAGCAAAAGCTCGTACAGCGATCTCTGAGCTTCTGAGCTAAAAACTGAAAACTGAACTTGCAACTTGGAACTAGATGTTATGCTGGCATGCAGCTTTTATTAAATGACTCTTACCAGTTCCTTAGAGAGTCCACGAAGGGCATTGACGAAAGTGAGAGTTCCTTAACTGAATTTCTTAGGGAAGATCACAGAAATAAAATAGAAACCGAGGACACTTTATCGTCCATAAAGCAGAAAACATCAGCAAGAGCTCGAAGTGGGTGACACATGTAGCTTCATCTGCTGGTCGGAAAGGAGAAGATAATCATAGGGCAGGAGGGGGCCAGAATAATGCTAGGATCATCGGCTTGCGAATCAGAAACATGATAAACAACGAATCAGGAAGGTTGAAGTCACGTGAGTTGCGTCAGAAAGTCTTAAATGCATAGTATGAAAAAATTAATATCTCACTACAAATACGTCGGAAGATGTGGAAAAAAGGAGCAAACATGTGGAAATATTCTTTTAGTAATTAATTTGTCTAACCAGATGAGCTCACTTCTGTCCTAAATATAATTTTCTTCCTCCTGCCAAATAAATTTCCAGTAACTTCGATTTCTCGAAATTGTTGGAAGGCAAACACGGTTACAGTTACAAAGGGCTGGATACAGTTAGGGATAGGACCCAAACTTTAATTAATTTTATAAATTAATTGTCGCAAGCTATATTTAATTTACAAAGTCAATTATAGTTTAACAAAATTATTTTTAACTCTGATGAAATGGTAAAGATTTGATTTTATTAGGAGACAACAGTCAGTATTACTTTCGTTTAAAATAAACTACAAAATATTCACATGGCCAAACTTTTCTGCCGATCTACGTGTCGATAAAATATAAATCTTAAAAATTAAAAAAAAAATTCGCTATTTTTGATTTCCATATTTTACTCAAGTTGTGATAAATGTAACGAAGATTGCGTTGTGTATGAATTGAATAGTGCGGAATTCTGCCTCTTCGGCAGTTCCGCAATTAAAAAGAAAGATTGTGCTATCTATTACAAGAAGAAAGATTACTTGCTTTGCTTATCCTTGTCACGACAGTAATTGCTATCTTGACTGCTCCCTACTAATTTGGACTTTGATAAACACAAGGATCACGTTATGCAGGCATCAGTTAAATCCATATAGGCATACAGACATCAGTTAAAAAGTTACTTTTTACGCTATAAAGCTAATTTTGAGGTAAGGATTGCAATTCTGATGCTCAAAAGACGTATTGCTGTATTTATGAATTGAACAACACATCTCAACAGTTTAATGACGTGAAACTTTATGCTGAAGACATCATCTCATCATTGTAATTCAGCTCATTTTCTTACAAATAAATAAATGCGGCAATATTAAGTATGCGATAAATAAATAAAATTGAAAACATTAAGTTTTATTCTCTTCTAAGCACGAAATTTTTATAATAATCTAAATAATTTCAATCAGATAATCAAGTTGATCAAGATCAAGTTGCAATTTGTTTTGAGGGGGCACAGTATTTTACCATTCCCTTGAGTACAAATTCTATATGTTTCAGTATTTCGGTCCTTTGAAATAAAATATCATATATGAAAAACTGTAATAAATTACCCTCACTTGCGTAATAGTATATACTCATTTAGAGGTCTGTAATAGCATATATTCATCATTCATTATTCATTCATTCCATCATTTGCAGGAGTTCTACACTATTGAACAGATAATTTTAATTCACAGTCAATAGAAGTCAGCTCCTTCGCGACAGAAACGAAACCTTTTTCAATGAATTTCTTAACAGATTACGAAATTCTTTTATCGTAAAAATATATATAAAAGGAAGTGATGATGCTTCAGTAACACTCTTAAAACAAAAATAAGTATCGAAGTTCAGAGTTATGTTTGAGAAAGCATTTTCAGATGCTTCTACATTCAACAAAAGCTAAAACATTTTTACAATTACCTCCTATAATCATTGTGTAAATAAGATTAGATAACTGAAGGAGCATTTTTTCGGGGGGGGGAGAAATACAGTTTAGTTCTGAGAGATCTGTAGTACTTAAATTAGTATCTCTTTCTGATAAAGTTAATAGGATGTTATGGCATTACATGTATTCCAGAATATATAAATTGCACGTTCTAAAAGAGAATACTTGAGAACAAAGGTTAGAAAATAAACTGAGGCAACTCATTAAACTGAGGCAACTCATTATAGTTCTAAATACCATAAGTACAAACATTAACGATCTCTCAATACAGTAACCTACCATTCTTCTTCCAAATTACTAAAAAGCGTTATATACCTACAGCAGATATATTTTTGATTCTCCACAGCAGGCATCAGCAACTTTCTTTTACTGCGGCAACTTGGTCGGCAACATTTTTGTCAAAATCAACCGAAATGTGTGTATTAAGACGTTTCGGGTCAGTGGTATTTTCATTTTAGAACAGTTTTTTTTTATGAATAATAAGATACATTTTATTGAGAAAATAATTATAATACGCTTTAAGCATAAAAATTATTACTATTATAAAAACAAACATAAGGATCCTCTGATACTGATAACGTGACGTCAGTTTAGTCAAACCTACCTTATAGTTAGTCGTCGTAAGACGAATTCAAGCACCTGAATTTTCGATTATTAAGCTGCTCCTGTTCTTACTTAAAATAAATTTCATGTGAGAAAATATTTGCTCGCATTTAAATTGAACCGAATGCGAACAAAACTGCAAAGCCATTTTTTAGAATTATGGATTATGGATCAGTGTTTCCAAATTTACCAATTTCTCCTTGATATTATGTTACAGTTCCTTTTAAAATAAAAATGCATTAGCTGTTACTGCAACTTTATAATCAAACGAAAATGTTAACTGTTATTATTATTATTATTATTATTTGGGGGGGGGTATTCTTCAAATGCTCGTTTCATCTTGTTGCATTTTTCTTTCCTAACACCAGTTGTTACGTTATTTTCTTCCTTCACATTCGCACGGGGTTTGTGTGGATTTGGAGTGAATAACGACGACACTTGATGAAGTATCGAAACACGCTTTTAGTTAGCCAATATTAATCAGGACAGCACCAACAACACTTTTTACAGTCGTCGAAGATCTACTATAAACACGCTGGAACAATCAGTGACACAGCCTTCACACTGTCAGGCAATAACGGTGGAGACAGCTTCACTGCAATGCTCCCGACTCTGCTCTGTCGTTCTCGGAACTTCACGTACTCTCGAGACTCTCCACGCTACAACTCGCGATGCACTCGACAACACACGAGCACAGCTTCCGACTCTTCGGTTCAGTTGTTCCCGGAGCTCAACACGCTCTCTCGACGATGCACTAACCGCGAATATACTACGAGACTCTTGTGGTGCACTCGACGACCCACTCGGCACTCGCTGCCCGGCTGTCAACTCGATCCACTCCGCAGGGATTGACTCGCTAGACGAGACACACACACTAACTGACTGCGGACCAGCAGGGTTTATATAGCTTTCGGCTTGTGTTCGAGCAGATTCTGGGCTAAACCGGTACGAACTCGTTCCAGAAGATTCTCCATCCGCCCATGGTATATCGCTAATTTTGTCGCCAAATGAGGCAACTCTGCCTTCCCTTGCCATTTTTATGGCAACCCTAAACTGCTTTGCGGGGAAGCGATCTCACAGCGCCTGTACATTTCGTAACAATATTTATGTTTTATAATTTACTTTTATATATTATAATTTATTTTCGGAACTCAAATGGATCACTCGGTGACCCGCAGGTTGTAAGTTGCTTTACAGTGACCACTCTAAAGCATGAGCAAACTCCTCCCTAAAGTATAGTAATGGATTTCTTGCAGTGGTTATTTTGTTTTAGCCAAAAGATCATAATCGCACGGACTTATATACGATCAGTATGGCGGGTGTTCTTGTGCCATCTTTGCAAGAGATCCGAGACAGGGCCCGCATTATGGCACCACGCACGATGATGAGATTCATCATCAGGAAGTGTCATCGCTTCTCCATATGATGTCTCTGGTGACGAACTCCAATAGCCTCCATAACAATGCGAGGGTACACCTCGCATTGCTATGGAGTGTTGTTTGTTTAATAATGCTAGTATTGTAACGGATCTTCTGCGTTAGTGCTTATAGGAGGTATGAGAATTCCCATTATACATAATCGATATAAATGCATGTGACTATAATTATTTTTTCAAAATGAAAAATCACTCCCGCGGATCTATTATAACATTACAGTAGCATTACAGTAGCTATAGAGGAGGAGATTATCTGCGATTTAAAGTGGTGGCTTATAGAGCATCAACAGAAGTGGACGTGCTAATGGTGAACGACGTCTTCCTGTCGTTTGACAGACGATACATGGTAGACAAATACTCTGAGAGATTGTAAATGTTTGTATTTATTGTAAGAAAGAACTTTCAGAATTATCGACGTGTTGCCACTACATTTTATAAAAATCTTGTATAATTAATATTTTTGATATACTTACAACTGCTGCATAAACCAGCCGGGCAATCGTCTGCGTAAACACTAAACACCACGGCACATAACACAGCAGCAAATAAGACCTTCATCTTGTCTATCTGAATAAAAGGAAGAAACTGAAAAATAAAGACTAATAGAATATAAACATTAAATTAGATTTTTAAGAAACAATGCAATGTACTTCATATTTTGATTAATGTACACAACTGCATCCCGTTACTGAAACTACGCATTATGCGAAACATGCACAAGTTTTTCATGAATACTCTTCACTGGAAACAAAGAGCTGTCAACTCTCGATTAACAGAGTTGAAGAGGAATCACGATAAAAAAGTTAAGTTTATTTAAAGGCGAAAGAATGCAAAAAAATACGATTACAACCCATCAACGCAGGGGGGGAGTTCACACTCAAAAAAAGTCAAAATGAATATAACAATAATGACAACAGATGGTTGTCATGCAATTTGAAGTGGTTTTTATCCTCAACAGCATAAATTTAATGCTACGTTAATTAAAAATTCAGTAAATATTCTTTCAAATGTAAATTCTAATAATGTCAGTTATAACTCAATTTATTTACTTTTAATGACGATTATTCTTCGTTTTGAATATTGATTTAATTTACTTAACCATATTAACTTATTTAATTTTCAGGTTAAACTGCAACTTGAAAACAAACGTAAATTTTTAATACCATTTTTCTGTTAATTTAAATATGAATTACTCTTCGTTTTGCTTTTCTAATTGCCTTCGGATTAACCATTGTATGGAAATAACAGGGAACATCATCTCTATCATTATACTGTTAATCAAATATCTTTGGTATCCTACGAAAATGGTTCTTTATCGCAAAAATCTGCTGTTATAGTCTTTTACAAGTCATAGTGACTTTGCCGTCGTTTACGATTCTAATGTGTGTCGTTATTTCCGCACAATGGAAGTTAGAGAACTTTAGCAAATTAGAGTACTTGACATTTTCCGCAGCAGTCGTTACCATGGCTATTAGGTACGGTTTAAGAGAAAAATGGCCTTGAAATGCCTGTTCTAAAAGAGCAGACTATAGAGAAGTTATACTTATTCGGTTTATCGCTCCTGAACTGATTTGAGCCTTCTTTTATTTAAATCAAGTCAGGTGCGAAACGTAGATGTAAATATAAATCCTGAAATTCTTTCCCAAATTAGGTAGTTACGGAGCTCGCAAATTCACTAAGACGCGCGTCGAAAAAGCCCGATTATTTGATGATAAATATTATTAGACTTCCGGAATTAGTAACCACGTCTAGGATTTTGTGCTTAAGTCGCCTTAGCAGTCTTCTCTATCGCCATTTACACTTCTGCAGCTAAAGAAGTAGGTTCTATAGTTACACTTTGAAAACTACTCCTGCCAAATATATGAATATTACGCTGATTCATGCTGCCTTAGCACCTCCAATAATTGTTACTCGGCATGTTATTTTAAATGAAACTACAGGTTGGATATTTGAATCTCACGAATCTTAAAAAAGAATTCTAGATTCAAAAACTAAAATTCCCACACATTTCTCGTCATTCGAATCATTTGCATCTTAGATACAAATCAAATGTTTTAACTCAAAAATTTGGAAAGATTAATTTACTTATCATTAAATAGCATCGGAAAGCTTAATTTTACTGAATATTCAAGCAAGAACGCGGTTATTGCAAGCTTAATCGACTTGGATCATTAATTTAACCTTATGCGAATCTAATTGTTACAGTCTTAATTTTCTATAAAGAATTTAAGAGTTCAATATTTAATATTTATTTGAGTCAAGTTTAAATCCTCAGTATTTGTTTTGATTGATAAACATTTGGAATGCAAAAAAATACTAAAATATATTTTGCCAAATTTTCTTGAGAAAATAAACCTCAACTTTGAAGAGTCATTGATTAAATTATGTATTTATTTTGTAAGTATCATTTCTGTCGTCTAAATAAGCAGAAATTTATTTAAAAATTGCATTTTAAAGTTATTCTTCGCTATGCACAGATTTCAAGTTTACTTTAATCAAATATTTTATAATTAAATAAGCTTTTTTCCTCTTTATCTAATTTTTATATGAAAGATTTGAGAGATTTGACATCAAATTCAAAAGACCGTATGAAATCTTTTAGGATCCATTAGGATTTGTCCCAGTTATACTAAATAAAATTGAATTTGAATTTTGGGCTAATTTTTATGGAATAATAAACAATATCAAATGTGCGGCTGATCATTACGAAACTCAAAACTGACAAATTTTAGTCATCAAATGGAACTCTATAATATAAAAAATATTAGGTCATGTTCCCGCTTAATGTAAAAAAGATTATTATGAGGAAAATAATGTTATGCTTTTTAACAGAAGTTAAAAGAAGAAAGTCAACACAAATTTACCACAAGAAAATTTATTGCTGTCTGAAATTTCGTTAAAAATTCAGTCCAGTTTTTTTTTTTTTTTTTTTCCAGTTTTCAAGTTTGAGCTCCCATTATTGGAGTTAACATATGCAGTAGGCATTATAATCTTATATAGGCTCAAACACTTAATTACTAGAATAAGCAATAAAAACAATGCTTTTGAAGGGTGAACTGAATTTTAACGAAACTGCAATCAGCAATAAATTTCACGTTTGTTCTTTGAACTTTCTCATTTGCCAATAATAATACTAGTTCAATTTTATAATTATCATCAGCGTGTGTGTGTGATTATAGCAAAGCCTCAAGGGCTATCTGCCTAAGGGGAGGGATGCCTTCGTGGAGGACTTTCTAAGGGAAACTGGCTCGTATACAACAATTATCATCAGCAAAATACAAGATGAGAGTAGATTGCATAAAATTAATAAATACCCTAAACACTCAATAAAAGCTGAAACTATATTATTTTTTTAATATATAAAATTAAACTATGCTAGACCATAATGCTATTGCCTCACTCTCAAAACAAATGGAGTTTCCTTCCAATGATAGAAAAATTAGAATTTTGTTATTATTACAATGCAGGTTAGATATTGATCATGAAAATCAATTGTTTCGTGGCTTGAAAAACGTTAAAATTTCATGAATTTAAAATTAAATTTCAAAATCTTACCAGATATAGGGTCTTACACGCGTATGCTAATGTGCCAACCTACGCCCCTCAAGCCATAACTTGGTCCGTACCATTATAACAGTAAAGAAGATGGAAGAATGAGCTTATGCAATGCTCAGTTAAAAGATGAGAATTGATTGGATATTTTTGATGTATATGACTGCATATATAAATGACCTGAAATATAACTAAAATATGATATTCCAAAGAAACAGCAGCATTCGAAATTAAATTAAAATTTCAGCGGTTCTACATTAATGGCAAAACGCAGCTCACTGCGCCACTCTGTCGGATAATTTCATATAAACACCGAAAATAATGCGGCATTGACTGCCCTCGTATGAGCATGAGAATCTTTTCACAGTTACAGGCCTGTTCACATCATACACTATTAAACTGATAAAAATTTAATTGCATTACTCTGGTCTTACCTCTAATTTAATTAGTTGATATTTTAGATAAAATTAACTGTTTCAAAACCTTATAAATATTGCCGTCCCTTCGAAAGTAATGCATGCAGTGTTTTCGGTAATTCAGTCGTCTCTCCCCGACAGCGTTGCCCAGAATCACAACAGAAAGCGGCCAAATGACACCCGCAAGAAAGGGAAGTCTCTTCCCAATTTTAAAGAAAACACCCGATGACCAAGAGTCTTCTATCCTTCTTCCCCTACCAAAAACCTTTCGAGAAATTGCCCAACGCAACACTATTCTAAGCGTCCCCCCCCCACACATGTTGCAAAGCTATTATAAATTTATGCAAGAATTTTTTTATGTTCCTCTCTGTATCTCAAAACTCTAAAAAATTAAAGAGATTCCGTGGTTTAAAATACATAAGTTTGTAAAGTTGCGCGCTTCCAACCTGCACGCAACAAAATGGTGACTGCTGAGAACTGGAAAGAGACCAAAGTCTTGAGAAGGGTTTAAATCCCTTTTTATTCAATTTAGAAATTCAATGCGTGCTCTTGACGCTCACAAACTACGCGACCGGCGTAAAATAAAAATAAAAACTAAGAAAGAAAGTAACAAGTACTAACTACGAGGCTCTCTAAACGGAACTAACCTCACCGCGTTCTAAAATACCGCTGATAATTCAGCAAACTCTGAATTTACGTTGAAAGATAACAATTTGCCGAGGCAAGCACACACGGCCGAAACGCGTGGTTCTTCATTTCTAACGAGCCACCTCCACACTCGTGAAGCAAGAAAGCACCCTTCGAACTCGTTTCCTTTCTATTTAACTCAGATACTTCCGCTGATAATTTGAATCCTTGCACGTTCTACTAAATTTACATACTCTGGCATTGGCAATTCCAGGGGAAAGTAAGGCTTGACAGGAAAGATAGTTTAAACTTAAAATAAATGTTAGTTAAAATAAATATAAACCCTACAAGTTTATACTTTACGCGATGCATAAATCGAACCCACGAGGAAAAAAATTCATAAATATATGAAATGTACTTTTGTTTAAATCATTTTAAATGAAAAAAAAAAAAAAAAAAAAAAACTAAGTTATTTGGCGATATACTTCATATAATTCGTACTTGTGATCGTCCACTACATAAGAATAAGAGGATAAGAGGCCTCCATAAGAGGTTTTTCCCCAGCCAGTTTCTTAAATAAATTAGATCTTGCTTTTACTAGAACACAGAGCCGGTTTCTGCATTTTCCGACCCCTATAGGCGATCAGTATAGTTTGCGACTCGTATAAATCAAACATAAATAACTGAAACCGAAATATACTAGTTAAGTTGGCATCCTCTGAAAACCGGCACTCTATTCGGCGAGCTTCTTTCGAGGAGGTCCTGTTATATCACTTGCCCCCTAAAATTCCGAAAAGTTTCTGAAATATAACATAGGGATATGCACAAGCTTTTCGTTTCTCATTTTGTAATAAATTAAGTTTAAAATATTCTAAAATATTTTAGTTATTGTAACTAAAATTCTATTCGCAGCTTAATAAGATGGGATGCTGCAAATTTATGTTTATTTTATCATGACGTACGAATAAATAAACCTTTGAACTTACAAAGAGAAATGAAGCGACAAAAATTAGATTAACGAAACAATACGAAGAGAAGGATGTACGACACATAAGTAAAGTTTGAATTAAAAGAAAGCAACGTTTCTTATTTTTAAACTGACTGGGCACAAAATATTATCTAATTATAAATTATCTAATTAATTAGTTAAATCAATAGATTATCAACTACTATCTGATTATATAATTTATTAATTAATTAGTAAATTACCTAATTTTTTAATATTACTTCTCTTGTTAGATAACTATGGAATTATAATATTAGATAATTTACCATTATAAGCGGTCAATCATACGCAAATAAGTAATATTCCTGAGTCAATGACATATTTTGGTTTCTTTATTAATAAAATATTTACTCCGATCAAATTATTTTAAATATTCCTGTTTATAATGAATTAAATTTATAAGAAGGAAATTTAAAAAAGGAAATTGAAAATGAATTATTAAAGCGTCAGGAGTTTTAAATCAATTCAAACTTAAAATTTAGTAAAAACAAATCTTCAGTTCTTACCTTAATGGGTTTCTAACGGGAAAATAATTTTCTTTCCACTCGAAAACTAACCCTTTCTCTCAGTACTTGAATGTATATCTCTTTATTGATAATGAAGCCTTAGCGACAATCTACAATCGTATCCACTGTTTTCCAAAACCTATGACCATTTGTAACGCACATCCCTTGCTAACCCAGAAAGACGTAATACGCTTTCACTTTAACTGTTTAGTCTTCTATGATACTTTATGTTTTATTACTTATGCCACAATACATGAGGGTTATTGAACATTCCCATGAGAAAAGTATGGTAATGCGCTTCCGCGAACTTTGAATCAGAACTGAAGAGAAAGCAATTTTGATGAATCAGCACTCCGTTGCTTCCGGCTAATGAATAAAAATGTTTGAACTTAGAGAATGGAATTGTTTTACTTCCACTTTCAAATATGAAATACATTATATGTCGGTTTATCCAATATTAACTCTTATTTTTCCTTCCGTTTCTCTCCTTTTCCATAACCGTCAAAAAGAAACATCATAGCTTATTGTCCAGTTACTTAAATCCTAATCCGCACATTTTAGTTTCGGCTGTTTTAGCCCTCTTTAAAAGAAATTAAAATTTTTAATCTTACTATTTTTTAATGTTTTCTGTAAAATTAGCAACTATAGTCTATACTAAAAAAAAAAAGGTAGGGGGGGGGAAAGCTTCGGTGAAGAAGTCGTTAACGTATTTCTTAATGGTTAATAAAAAAATATTTATAAAAACTTTTTTATAAATTAAGTTATTACTTAAATACTATAAAATAATTAATGAGATAAAAGGGGAAAATAATTTATCATGTAATTTAATTGCGACTAGAAATTAAGGAATTTTCCTTTACAAAATCCGTCTAAAATTTGAAATCACGAATAATAAAAACATGAGAGCCTTTGATAAATTCATACTTTATGTTTATGTTTTTGTATTTTTAGATTATGTGTTTCTTAAACTTGCCTGTTAATTTTACTTGAATTGAGACGGAATACAGCTAGTTAATTACACTAGCTACTCTCGGCATAATGAAGTCAAGATAAATCTATAAAGATAATGGCTTATACTTTTGATAATGCGATTCTATTATTCGACTTCGTTATATAGGGTCCTGCGCTGTTATTATTCCTGCTATAAAACTGCAGATAATTTTACACATAAAATTATTTAAAAGTTTCTCTTGCTTCACTTTTTTTAATTTGGGCCAAAAAAATAAGTCACTTGGAGAAACTAAAATTTATGTCAACCCATTCCTTTATTTTCCTTTATTCCTTTCCTTCATTTAATTGTTCACGAGTGGGGGAAAAAAGGTACATCGTTCATTCTTTCAAATAATTTTAATAAATTTTTAATTTTAAATCAGTGAAGTACATTTGGCGTTATTATCACTTATGAAAAATATGCCAAATTTCAAAACGTGCAAATATATAAATTCCAGTATATTTTTGAAAATTTTAAATAAAAAACTCGAATTTTTTGCAGGTATGCCTAGAAATATATCTTTTTAAGGTGGTGGTATAATTTTCTAAGTTATAATTTAAAGAATTTTTCTAAAAATTTAAAAAATTACTAAAAAATAAAAATTCTAAAACTAAATCAGAAAACATCTGCGAATTTTAACCTAAATTTCGAGCTACGAAAGAAGGAATCAAGTAAGTTTAATAGGAAAAAAAAAAGAGATACAATAAATACATATCAAAGTCAATGAACACTGAGGAGTTATATATCCTAAATCGCACTTTGAAGACGTGAAAATCGAAGTTAAATTTCGTCTATCGGCCCAGTAGAATGGGAGATATGTAACTGTCCTCTCCCCTATTTTTGTCCAAGGTGTACATTTTGAGCATACTTTAAATAACATTTTAAATATTTAAAATTCTACAAATTGCCAATCAGGTAGAAATTTAGGTATTTCTGTAAAAATTGAAATGAATTTTTCAAGGTATTATAAATCGAACTATTAATAAAAACTATTTCTTACCTAAATAAGGAAAAGCAAAACCTAAAACACAGCTAACACACCTTTACTGATAAAATTTTCGACGAGCACCTGTGTTATATATATTTGCCTGATATTGCAATGTCAGCAGTAATCTCTAATCATATCTGCATAGTTTAGAAAACGCATGATTTTTGGTTTTTGCCCTGTGTTATTTGTTGACTGATTTTAGTCATATGTCTGCTTTAGGATGATAACGAGAAAACACGTATAGGGAGAACGGAATTATCATTTTTCTTTTCATTGTCGTTTCGTGAAAGTATCTGACAATGTGACCATGAGACCACTAGAAGAAAAATTAGGTCAGAAATATCGATCAGTCTTTACACAGATTATACAGATTAGATATAACAGTGAAAATTTGTTATTTATAATCAATTATGGTATCAAATAGTCATACAAAATGTTTCGAATTCATGCCTTTTGCTAAATTTTATCTATGTAAAGTAAGCTAAATATTTACTTTCCATATTCCAAAGTCATGTAGTTTTTTACCACACAATATTTATTTACATACTAGCAGAAGTACCAAGATGCCAGTTAAGTTAGATCGAGAGTGATGTGTCTAGCAACAGACAGAACGATACCGCTGTAATACTTCTCTAATAACGATACAAAAAATACGATTCATAATCATGCATTTTTTAGTCTGATGCGATATGGAACCCACATAAGACATTTCGATAGAAAAATAAACTAATTTTCTCTCATTATACTAGCAACAATAAATAGCACGCAGTTTTTAACGATTTTCGTCTTTCTAATCAAATGGTCGTAAAAGCTCAAGTTCCATCGTATATTTCACCTATATTCAATTTTAGTCGATTAATTGGTGCAAAAAAAATTTATCATAATTGACCAGAAATAAATAACGCAAACTAAAAACAAACACTCAAACAAACATTATATAAATAGATTGTGAAAAACTTACAATTTTTTTATTAACAAACTCTACGATCGAAATAAAGCATTTTTATCTCCAACCCGCGAGACTGTTGCCACTCGGAAAAATGAGTGCGGAAATTAGTGTTTTAAATTAATATTTCGGCTGATTAAAGTCGTGCGAAGATGGGAATAGTCGAAATGGTTTCCTACGAATTTTCGGAAAAGGAATAATTTTTTGGGGAATAATGTATTTAATGCTCGGCAATGCTATTTTTATTTCGTTGTAAAACTTCGAATTTTTTATTAACAAACTCTACGATTTGAAAGCGAGCAGTGGCAACACTTCTCGAATTAAAGCAGATTTTTATCTCCAGCGTGCGAGATTGTTGCCATTTGAAAAATGAGAGCGAAAATTGGCGTTTTCATAGTTTTTAATTAATATCTTTGATATTAGCTAATTTTATTTGGAAAAAAAGTGGATGTCGACCTTTTCCAGGACCCAGAAAATAATTGTAGGACGTTTGGTGACGATCGCTATAGTAGTGACTGAGTTAATCGCGAACAAACACACAAACATTCATTACATATGCTCTTAGAATTTAAATGATGCAATAATAAATTAGTTCGCAGCAATAATAAATTTTATTTTTATTTTTATTTTTTATTTTTGCAATTAAAATTCCTTAATTAAATTTTAATTTTATATTACATTTATACGAATAGAGAATATTTGTTAAATTCTTCTTTATGTATACACTCTTTTGCAAAAAAAAAATCGAAGCACCACAAAGGACTTTTGCGATCGTGAAAAAATGGGGTATGCAAAAACACCTTGATCGAACATGCAAATGAACAGGAATTGCGATCATAACGCGCATTTCTAGTGCACATTTCGCAAAGCATAAAACCAGTAACAGAGACGGAAAATTTATCTTTTTTTGTTGCTGCTATTGCAATTCCGTAAAGAAGCAACTAAAGATGCCATTACGACGATATCGAAAACCTTACAGACAACTAAACGACTTCGAACGTGCTCGCATTGTAGGTTTGCGTGAAGTTGGGTGGTCATACTCAGCAATAGGCCGCCACCTGCAGCGTACAGACAGTGCTGTGCAAAGAAAGATATTGGCAGCAATGGTTGCTACAAGGAAATTGCCGACCAAATGAAGGCTCTGTTAGGCCAAGGAGCACAAATCCGAGGCAAGATAGGATGCTTGTTCGCCAGTCCCAAACCGCCCCAACGCTATCATTGTCGACTAGTCAACGCACTACAGCCACGTCTATACCTCCCGCGGTACCGTCCATCATCTCAAGGCGCTTGTCTGACGCGGGGTTACGCTTAAAGAGGCCTTTAAGACGTTTGCCTTTGACCCCACAACCTCGGCGGAATCGTCTGGAGTGGTGTTGCAGCCGATCCTCATGCTGCCATCAGACTGGTGTCGTATAGTGTTCAGCTATGAATCCTGCTTCACTCTTAAAGCAGATGACCACCGTGTTCGTGTCTGGGGAGGACGGGGCCAGCGGTCCTAATCAGTCTTTGTTTTACAAAGGCATACAGCCACAACTCCTGATGTGATGGTGTGGGGCGCTTTTTCTTATGACAGCAGGTCATCTTTAGTCATCCTCCGTACGTCTTTCAACGATATGTTGATACCATCCTGCGGCTGGCTGCATTACCCTTCATGGCACTTAATCCTGGGACCATTTTCCAACAAGATAATGCCAGGCCACATACCGCTCGCATATCTCTGGACTGTCTCCGTGCGGTTGATACTCCTCCTTGGCCATCAAGGTCACCAGACCTTTCACCAATCGAGTATATCTGGGACATGATAGGCCGCCTGATTCGGGCACCCCAAAATATCGCAGATCTGGAGCGACAACTGGTGAATGCCTGGCAGAATGTGTCGCAGGATGACATTAGGAACCTCTACTACTCCTTGCCTCGAAGAATTCAAGCATGCATTGCCGCCAGGGGTGGTTCGACCAACTACTAATTTGAATACTCAATGGGTGATTGTAAGCCATGAACAGGTACTATGACCTTGATTTTTTAATCACTTTATTAGCTATACACATATTCAATTTCATCAAAAACAACCACTTCCTTCATGGTGCTTCGATTTATTCGCAAAAGTGTGTATATAAATTAAGCAGGTTCTTTGCGCAAAAAAAAAGGGGGGGAGGACAGTTCTATATCTCCGGTTCTACTGGGCCGATTGACGAAAGTCAAACTGCGTTTTGCATTGTTCGCAAGCGCGATTTAGGATATGTATTAAATTTATATATAGCATTTTTCTAATATAGGTATTTTGACACAAAAGCGGATTTTTTCCAAGACGATATGCCAGTTTTTTCCATATTTCGATTCTAAGACTCACGTTATGCCAAACTGCCAAGTTTTGTAGAAATCGCACGAGTAGTTTTTAAAAAATTAGCTCACAAAATTTTAGCTCCTCAATGTTAATTCCATTTGGTATGTATTTATTAATCTCTCTTTTTTTATTACTTGATTCCCATTTTCACAGTTCGAAATTTAGGCTCATTCCAAATAAAATTCATCCACATTTTATGATTTATTTTTAAAATTTATATTTTTAAATAATTTTTATAAATTTTTGGAAAAACATTTTGAATTATAAAATTAAAAGCATTATAAAATTTTTACCATTATCCTAAAGCAGATGTATTTCTAAGTACACCTGCAGAAAATGAAAGCTTTTTATTCAACATTTTCGAAGGTTTACGTGAATTTATACAGTGGCTCCCAAAAGTGTTCGTACACTTATGATTTTCATTGAAATATTGCTCTATCCATTAATTAAAAGTAAACTCTCTGAATGAGATTTTAATAATAAGATCTATAATATATTCGTAACAAAATTACATGAAATATTTTTAAAATATAGCAAAGCTTTATTTTTAAGAAATTAATAATAAAAAAATGACAAACATTTTATCTCACAAAAGTCTTCGTACACTTAAAAAAACTGACATATTAGTAAATATTTACATTTTTCTTTAACTTAATATTAGTAGGATATCCTTTAGCATCCACGACAGCTTTTAAACATCTGGGAGTAGATTTTACTTTTTTTTTTTTTTTTTTTTTTAATTTCTGTATTAACGTTTATCCATTCTTCCATCATGGTTGTTTTGAGTTCGCTTTTCGTTTTGATGTCGTGTTTTCGTACTCTAACCTCCAGCTCTTTCCAAATATGTTCTATGGGGTTTAAATCTGGCGACCGAGGTGATGTTTTGAAAACCTGTGGACAATTATAGAGACACTACAGGCGAACGTTGAGAGCCGCATACTTAGGATCGTTATCATGATTAAAAATAAAAGTTGTTTCCCAATACCGAAATTTTGGGCTGATAATTTTAAATTGTCTCTTAAAATATTTAAATAAAGAGAATGATTCATTATGCCATCAATAAATACCAAATTACCTAGTCCAGATGCTGCCATGTCCCCCCCCCACACCTCCACACAAGAACACCTCCACCGCCGCATGCTTAACTGTTCCAGAACTAAGTTCTTAGAATGAAGTTCCTTAATTTTTTCTTCTCCATATAGTTATTCGACCATCGGAACCAAAAATGTTAAATTTGCTTTCGTCAACAAATAGGACATTATTCCAGTACGTTTCAGATGTATTTATCATTGATTTTGCGAATGAAAGCATAAGCTTTCTGTTTTTCTCACTGAAAAAAAAAAATTTTTTACGGGCAGAGGACGCCCATGTAATCCAGCTCCTCTGAGAACTCGTCGAACAGTTTAAGGTGAAATTGAAGTAGAAAATTTTGCATTAAATTCTGCAGAAACTTTTAGAGCACTCAAACGTGGGTTTTTCACAAATATTCTAATAATAAATCTCTCATCACGTTTAGTTAACGTTCTCAGTCGATCTTTTCTTACGTTTTCAATCCGATTTTCTTTTTTAAAGCGTTTTATTACATACTGCACTGTAGAATGGGATAAATTAACTAATTTAGCAATATTTCGAATTGATTTACCCCTACTGTGGTGAAAAATTATCAATTTTCGAATGCTTTTTTAAATTTCTTTACGACTGCGACCCGTTTTTCAATAATAAATGGAATATTATGAAATAAGCAATAAAAATTAAAGCAAACGATTTTTTAAATGCCACCACA